TGACCTAAAAAAATTTTACACTGACAAAATGATCAATTATCAAGTTGATATTCCAGATTGCCACAATTTGAAAAAGAAGATTATTTCTCTATACATAGTCTTCAGATTAAAAATTTCGAGTAAGAAAGAAAAACAATTGCAGAATAAATATGCAAGTCGGTCAATGAGACAATGAGAGCTCACATGAAGTAAGAATGCGTTCAGTAAATTAACTCAACATTCCAGAATAAAAATATGTTTCTGTCCCATTTTCAATGTACTTACAGGAGGATATCTCACTTCTTTTCGTTGTAGTAACTTTCCTAGATCATTGATAATAGAGGAGATAATTTTATGACAATTGAGAACTTGTTCCTAACAAGCTTGATAAGTTTGTCATAAAATTATGAGGCATTTGTCAATGTCCGAGGGATATTCGGCGGAAATTTTTTTCGAAGTTGCCTTTATCATAATGTTTGGTTTAATTGGTTGTGTTCAATCATATATGACCACAAATTAATTGATTTCTTTGGATTTCTACTTGAGCAAAATATTGTCAAAGATAGAGATTTGCAGTTTTCGCGAACGTTGGCTCCTCTTTTTTGAAAGTCTCAGTAATCAAAACAAAATTTTCATTGACTGCTTTATTTTTTAGATACAGTGCAAAATTACATGTTACAATTTGAGACCTCCCTTGTATTTCAGCTATATTTCAACTTATAGGAAAAGTAAAAATGTTATCTTAATCAGAAGTGTTGAATATTTTTGAAGAGTGCAAAGTGTCAATGTATTGAATATAAAAAATATACAGGGTATTCCATTATAAAAAACATAACTGGGTTATATCTTCATAATAACCTGGCTACGCCACTGGATTCTACTTGAAAAAAAAATGTTAAGAGTCAGTTTTTACTTTTCCAATAAGTTGAAATATAGCTGTTACACAGGGGGAGTTCCAAGATGCAAAAACAAAGCAGGCTATGAAAATTTTGTTTATGGTAAGTACAGTGAGTTCCACAAAAAAATTGCCAATGCTAGCAAAAAAAGGAAATCTTCATCTTTGGAAATAAGATATCCCCATGATATCCCATAAGGGCATTGAAAATGGGACAGCCTGGACATGTAGGTATTTCAGCAATCAATCAGCTTGTCATCCAAAGCAACAACATCAATTATTTCTGTCTGGGTCCTATTTACTTCCATCTTCTGGCATGTGGGTGCACAGCTCTCATCCTCAAGGGTGCATCTGACCTGTTTCCTCAATTTCTCCAAATGTATCTACCATAAGTTATCTTGATTGTTGGCTTGTTATCCCTTTCTTTCCCTGCCTCTTCTTCTAGCTGCTGCTTCAAGGCACTGCCTTCAGACTTCATCTTCCAATGAATGTTGTCACTTAACTACCTGTTCCTACAAAACAGAACTCCAAAATATATTTCATGCACTTCAGGGATTTGAAAATCCCTATTTTCGGGGAAATAGTGGTACTTTAAAACCCTAGGGATTTGAAATGTACTTTAAATACCTAGGGATTTAAAGTAAGGAATATGATATGGATGCAACAAAAGTTTAACATGTTTAGAACAATATAAAACTATAAAAAACGACTCAATTTCTACAAATAGTAACATTCATCAAAATAAAAACGAGCAGATCGGAGTTGGTCGACCAGCTTGTTTTTCTTTTGAAATTAAATTGGACCACTTTGAGATATGGATGATTTTCATGATTTATTAACATTTATGTTCACCCCAATGCAATCAGCCAAGTGAAAAGGGGTAAATTATCATTATTGCAGCTGTTATTTTTATTACCCAAAGTGTTTTGGAAAATTGTAGCCCTTGAAATAGTATACAAACCTCAGGACTAAAGTACTTTTGAATCCCTGGACAAATTATAGCCCTCCCGTTGGTCCGGCGATAAACTTTTTGTCTTGGGATTTAAAATACCACTTCAGTCCCTAGGTGTATGATATACTATTATACCTATCAGTAATAGGTAAAACCTTCTGTTAATAAAGGGCTATTGACATGAATATTTTCAGCATAAGCAACATCACTAGTGTCTGCATTCAATTGATATGAACTAAATCAAGGATTATGTATTATGTAGATCAACAAAGTCTATTATTAAGCTATTAATAACCTTCCAACATTATATATTCTCTTAATATTACATCTTGAAGCTGTGGTAGAGAATATTTACCTCTCAAACCAAACTGGCCTAAAAAAAATTATTTGATTTAAGGAAAGTAGTTGTTTTCTGTTGAATATAAATACCTAATATTTAATTCAAGTTTCACAGTTCATATTTTGATAGGTAGTAGTTACTTGAACCTATTCAAGACAACTTATAACAGCTAGGTAAGTAGGTAGTCATTTTCTGTTGAATATTCCAAATGACAAAATAGAAACTTGAATATAAATATTTTTATCTGAAAGAGAATGAAAATCTCTCAGAAGATTTTTGATTTTAAATCATCTTTGTGTGTTCAATGGATTCAATTCAATGTTCGTTAAGGCATATAGCCAGTAAAGTAGTAGTTCTCTGTGGAGTATACTGAAGAAGTATCAATACCTTCATCAGATAGAGAATGTGAATTCTCAATGTATTTCTTGATATTTTTCCATTTTTTTCATGTTTATTTCTCTTCAAAATTATATATTATTGTAAATGTTAATAATAGTTTGTGAGATTGCAGATGTGTATGTTCATGGCTATTAAAGTTATTGCTTCAGTATTTCTGTTTATCATTTGAAACTGACCTTATATGGGCAAGTAATTTCTTGATCACTTCATCATTTGAGATATGGGATATCCTAGGTTATCATTTCATCAATGTACTTATTTAAGTTGTGTTCTTCTGGGGACATATTTATAAGATGGATTCATCAAACATCACTTTTTCATCTTTCATCTTCTCATTTGAACTGGTTCTCAAGTGATAGGGAGATGCTTTGAGTAGGTACCTGAAATGTTGCATGTGGATTCGTTGGTGTATAATTGGGGATATTTAAGCAGGATAATTAACCCTGGATATTTCAATAGAATCATAAATTCCTGGTGATACTAGGTATACTTTGATGCTGCTTACCTTGCATAGCTTTGCTTTCATCTCCATTTTCTTTCAAGAACATCGTGATATTCGTGATTTGTACTATTTTAGAGAATCTTTTTGGCCCAGCCATTATTACATATAATATTTACAATAGACATAGATTCATAGATTGAGCCAATGAAACTCTGATAAAAACCCAAACGAAAATTGGAAATTGAAACACGTGTATTGTGTAGTTTGTTTATGTTTCATTTGACTTTGACGTTAATTGACATCTACGTCAATGACCGGAAATGGCAGCCATTTGCATGGCCATTGTCGTCACTCTATTTATATAGTCACTCTAGTCCTACCGATTGATTGCATGAATCCAATCTTCTTGCATTATTCTTGAAATTTCAGGTATATTTCTATTAGCTGATCCTATTGCAGAAGGAATTCCGATGAGAAATCAGAGAAATAACCAAATTTCAAAAATGAAAACTATGTGAGTGACTATATGTAGGTACTTACTTTTGAATCATAATGTACCATCCGGATTTCTTCATCTTCCGCTGCAGTTTTTGTGCATTTTACAACAGCACAATGTGATGGCATTAGCGAATTGATGAATAGCGGAAAAATACGATTCATATGCCAAAATAATTGTGGAAAACTATTTCGATCACTTGTAAACAAATATGTTTTGCCTCCAGGGTCGGTCATCTGACAGTTCTTGCACGCGACCTATTCAAAAGACTACCGATTGTCAGGAATGTACCATTCTGGCAACATTGACTTTGATTCAGCTAGACGCTTGTTCTCTCTTTGCGAAGTGCGATGAATAGTTGAACAGAGATGCATAATCATCAACAGCATCATGTAACAAAGGTGGATATATGTAATACCATCCAGTGACTCTATGTCAAGGAATACTAAGGAAAAAAAAAAACAAGAAATTTCGTAAAGAAAAATATGAAATTATTATTCTCAAACCAACATATTTTAATCATTCCAGAATTACGTCATTTGACAGGTTGCTGAGTAACAAACATTGTATTTTGTCAAGATTTGTCAAATAAAACCAGAATTAGCGGGATCGTTTTCCTTGGAATCCAACATCCGAGTTGGATTAAAGAATTTCATAATTTTGTTTGGTGAAACTGTTATTATATTGTGAATGAGGCAGGGATGGCCAGGGCAATAATGCTCATCAATGGTAACCTAACAGATAGTTTGTGTGCCCCTCAAGAAACCATGTCAAAATCACGTGTTCTAGTAGAATCTAGTAGAATGATCAACTGGATCAATTCAAGATTGGTAAGAAAATATCATCAGTTCTACCAATCTGCATGGAACATTTGGTACTCCATTAATATTGACATTTTTCTCTCACCACTAGCTCAAGAATCTATCATAATTTATAATGAGAAAAAATCATTATAATGACTTTTCAAAAGAGTAAAGTGTGCGTGACACCGAGTGCTATCGTACTTTGGAACTCGTAATAATCTCATCTATAAATTAAACCGCGTCAACTTATAAACATCTCAATTAAACCCTTTTTATTTAATGAGCATAGTGGAACGGTAAATCAAACTTGCCACCATTTATTTTTCAAGTCATAAAACCGGAAACAGTTCTTTGTCATGTGATTCAAATCACATGCTAGAAGTTGTTTCCTCTACCATTTGGATAGTTGATGCTCATGTTGAAAATTGAATTAAAAATATTCAAATTGATTTGTGTACTCTCATCACATCACAAGATATATTGTTAATTTTACACATTTTCTAGGGTCATGCGCTGTGGTCATGCGCTCAAACGTCAAGTGACATCACCAAATTATCAAACAATTGTGCTTCTGATTGGTCGAAAGGCGGCCTCGAAGTCAAATCTAACCAATGAACTCCATAGAAGTCCGCACTCCACCTGAAATTTACTTATCGTCATATGACCTATTCTTGCTGTTCCTACCGCGTAAGCCATATTTGTCAGTGGGTTCGCTAGTTCATTAGTGTGTTGTGCACTTATAACATCGTTCTGACCTGTAAATACTCCATAAATAAACTTCAAAATGGTTGTTTCTGAATATAATCCAGTATACGGACCTTTTTTCGGTGTAATGGGAGCCGCTTCAGCGATCATTTTCAGTTGTAAGTATCTAAATTTCTTTTGCTCATCCAAGCCGCTATGATATCGATTTTATCCTATGGAGATTCTTCAGGGCATTGCTATGAATTTGATACATGATCCAGCTTGCTATTTTGGGATCGAAGCTACCAACTATTTCTTCACAAGCTATTAAAATAATTTGATAATTATCATTAAGATTTTTGACTTCAAGTAGATATCCATGGGCGTAGTTGATAAGTCATATGCCAAGGTTTTGGGTGGATTGATGCAGGAATGATTTATAAATCACCACTTATGACTCGAATAATGCATAGGTAAACCCATGGTAAACCTCCCTTTTCCAAACAGATAGTTTTTATTCTTGATACATCCATTTATGCAACTTTCAGCTCATAATTTGTTCATAAATCCACTTTGAGTGAAGAGATATTTCATTTTCCATCTAAAATCATATAAGTACCTAATCTTATGATCTGGCCAGCAATTTAGATACCTAGTGCCTAGTTGCTCAAAATACATGAAAGTATAGGTATTCCTCAATAATTTGGCTATTTGATGACCCACTTCAACTTATCACATGTCCTAAAAAACATTTGTTTTTACCTAGGTCCTAGGTGAGCAAGAACCAACAATGGTTTTTATATTTCTGTTTCTACTTATTATTATGTTTTAGTAATTACCTACCTAAAGAATTATAAAGCACTTGAATTAGTTGTTTTTTTCCTGAATATGCTGTGTATGCTTGCAATTGCTGTGCTGTCTTTCCTTAATTTTTATTTTTAAGTAATATTTCAGATGTTATTCTTCACTAACAGTAATTAGCCTATTAAATCATTCATGGAAGAATATAATTCATGTCATTTTACCTATAACAGCACAAACAGACAGGGGAACAGGTGGGTGTTACCCCAGACCATGTGACAACTAAGGTTTCCAGTTTGATCACATGAGTGGAAAACATTTCACAATCTCAACTTGATACCACATGAAATAGCCTGGGATTTGGCCATCTGCTTCCTGATCATTGTATTTTAATTAAAAAAATGATTTGAATTTTGAGTTGATGATCAACTCATCTCAAACCAAATAATATCTATTTTTTTTTCAGAAAGTTTAACCAGTCTGAAATCATAGGAAAAAGAGGTAGTGAAGAAATAAATAATACCAAAATTTATATATTTATTCAATGCAACTTTCACCAGAGCAAATAAACAAAACTAAGCTCTGATGAGAACTTTTTCATCTAAAAAATGACCCCTGTTACTTTGTCAACAATAATGAGATTTGAGCTTGGATTTGACAGAATTATTGGCATTGGATTTATAGAAGAGATTGTGATGAATGTTCAACATCTCCTTTGAAATTTTTCCTGAGGGGAGATTTGGAATCAGGACTGTGCTATGCAGCCTGCATAATTATTTGCAAGTTGGGGGTTGTCATTTTGATAACATAATATATAATGAATATATTGTTTTTTTTTGTTTTACATGAGCTTCCTCAACTTTAGACTTTTTTCTTTCTTCCAGAACCACTTCAGATTGTAAAATTTTTTCTTGAGTCATTATTTAAGACCCAGCTAATTTATTATCCTATTGCCGAATTTATTGCTCTTCCAGTTTTGTGCAAAAAAACTGGGTTCTGTTAAGCTAGCAGAACCTCTTCATGAATGACAATTCAACCATGAGAATATTCCTTTTTAATACTTTCACCCAATCAAAGGGTTCAAACTTGAATGCTGGAAACTTATTTTTATTGACCTTCAATCACAGATTAGGTTTTCTCAATTCAGAATTTCTTTCCATGTCCTGTATGAAGAATATGAATTCATCATACATTTAAAAAAAACATTTTTTCTCCAGGCAGCAGGGATAGTGGCTTTTTCCTGCAGCTTAATAGGCAGAAAAGGTGTACTTTTACTGCCTAGGCAGAAAAAGCTTGTTGCTTTGCAATGTTCCAAGAAATTCTGATGAAATAAGTAATCAATATTGACACTGACATTGGGTGAACACAAAATGATGGAGTTTTCAATGAAAAAATTACAAAAAATTGGTTTGATATCATTTGGAGAAAAAAATCTATTTTTCACACGGCAGCAAATATAGATTGACTTATTTGGCCATCCTAGCCTTGCTATGCTCAACTATGAACTGTCAGCCGCGGCAGTCAATCTACTACTTTTCTGCCTAGTAAAACAAATAACTATTGAAGCTCTTTGTCATGGATTTTTTTTATCACTTTTTGCAAACATTTTCCCAAATCCAACATGAACATGAAAAATCAATAGCAAAAGTTCAATCAGGAAACTAATTATACCATCATTTAAGGCTAATTTAAAGCTCTAAGCCTAGCCTACTGCCGATTTTTTCGCACATTGTTTGAAACAAAATAGCCTTAAATTATGGTGTACTCAATATCCACTATAATTCTAGGTTATTTTAAGTCTCTTTGTTGAGCCGATCATCGATTTTTTTGTTCATCATTTTATGCAAAAAATTTCCCAAATCAACATGAACCTGAAAAACCAATGGCAACCCAAAAAAGTTCAGTCACATAACTAATTGGACCATAATTTGAGGTCTAATCCTAGCCTATTGCCGATTTTTTTGCACATTGTTTAAAAAAAACATAGGTTTTGCTAGATTAACCATTAACCAAGCAGAACCAATGATTTAAAAAAAATCAATGTGCGAAAAAATCAGCAATAGGCTATTAGAGCCCTAAATTATCCTTAAATTATGGTATATTTAGTTTTGTGATTGAACAATTGTTTACTAAGTGGTTAAGTTAGCTTAGCATTAAGCCAACAGAACCCACTATTTTTGCATAAATGGAAGAGCAATAAATTCCGGTAGGGTAATAAATTAGCCTTAAATTATAGCTGAAGGAAAAATTTTTAAATCCAAAGTGGTTCTGCTAGCTACTGGAGGTCTTTTTTCTTGCTGTGCAATAGATACCAAGTCCATTATCTTTGGACTCTTTTGTTGAAAATTAGAACAGGAATTTTTTGTCTTTAGTCAAACAATCAACAATTTCAAACTATTTCTCAAAACGAGATGCACCAATGTATTCTCATCAGAAAGGACTTTTGAAGCCATGTGTGGAAAGTAGGAGTCTTCTTTGGAATTTTGAAGTTGAAGTAGTTAGGGGGATGAACTTATCAACTTGGCTTGACTGTCAAGAATCCTCCCCCAAAAAGAGAATTTGACTAGTTTTGGCAAATTCATTTCAATAATAATTCGGATTTTTCAATGACAGGGGAAATAAAGTGTTCCTTCCTGTATACAGGGTGATCATGTTTTGGTATATTGTTTCCAATAAAAATAAAACCATTTTTGTTTTTGGTGACTTTGTTGTTTCTGGCTTTATTTTTGATAATGAATTTTTATACCATATGTAAACTGCTTAGACATTATCCAATTATTTATGGAAGCTCGTCTATCTGGGCGTTAATTCATGAAAACAATAAAAAAACATTAAATAAAACTTCCATGAAATGTTTACATTCTTCAGAATTAAAAATAGAATATTATACACCTAGTTAAGTCATGGATCACCATAAGTCATTTTCAATCAAACTAACCATATATGTGCTTATCCAATTGTAGCAGCAGAACCAAATCTCAAATCAAGGAAATATAAGAATATTGAGTACACCATAATATAAGGCTGATTTGAGGCTCTTCATTGAACCTACTATCAATTTGTTGATCATTTTCTGCAAAAATTTTCCGAAATCCAACATGAACATTACAATACAATAGCAAATCAAAAATAGTTCTATCATGAAACGCATATATCATAATTTAATGCTAATTGATGGCTTTTGCCATTGCCTTTTTTTTCGCACATTGTTCTAAAAAAAAACAACTTGGGTTTTGCTAGCTTAACCATTAAGCTAGAAGAATCAAATCCGAAATAGAAGGAATATAAGGATATTGAGTACACCATCATAATTCAAGGCTATTTTAAGGCTATTTGTTGAGCCTTTCATCGATTTTTTTGTGTATCATTTTTTGCAAACATTTTCCCAAACCCAACATGAGCATGACAAACCAATAGCAAATCAAAGTAATGTTCAATCACAAAACTTAATACTGAGACTCTAATCCTAGCCTAGCTGACTTTTTCGCTCATTGTTTTTTTTTTCAATCATGGGTTTGTTAGCATAAACATTAAGCTACGGCCTCCTTGAAGGGAGGGGGGGGGGGCTGAAGATGATATTACATGAATATTTCCGAATCGCCATGTGATAAAATATTGCTACATCTCACATTACCCGCATCTATGAAATTATTTGGTGAAAAGAAAGTAAATTTTTTTGTGGTGATATAATGATGACTCACTCCATTCTGTGAGAACTAAGGATATGATTTCAGATATTAGGCATATATATTCAGGATATGTTAATGTTGAAAATATTCATAGATTTTTCCATTATTGTTACCCTATTTAGAAAAACTTGTTTCTTGCAAATGACTGTGGATTAGCTCTATCTCACATATTATTATGCATCACATTGCAATAAATTGTAGTGGGTATGAAAAAAATTGAAAAAACTGGGAGTAGGTTTCCATCATCATCCTATTTCACGTGCATTTATGAAATTATTTGGTGAAAAGAAAGTAAATTTTTTTATGATGATATAATGATGGCTCACTTCATTCTGTGAGAAATAAGGTTATGATTTCAGATATTAGGCAAGATATTATGTTGATGTTGAAAATATTCATAGATTTTTCCATTATTGTTACCCTATTTAGAAAAACTTGTTTCTTGCAAATGACTGCTGATTAGCTGTAAGAATCAAACAGAATTTCAAAGTCAATATTTGACCAAAGTTATGGAGAAATTCAGAATGAAATCATTCCCTTGAACACCCTGTATCTGCAACATTTTTATAAGGCATGTTGGGCTAAATGTTCATATTTTGGTGTTTACTATCTGTAGTTCAGAGATTGCCCATCACCCTGTATAATGACATCTATGTCTATTGTTCCCTGCATTTAAAAAACGGGATACAGCAGCACATAAACAAAAGCCATAACTCTAAAAAGTTAACTCTCATCTTAGGAATTTCTATACAGTCTGTCCAAGATAAGGTTGAACAGCATGGGGATCTCGGAAACGGTAGGAGATACGAAGTCCTTTGAATGGGGAAAAAGTTGCGCATTCGGAGGCTTATATCAAGAGCCTTCGAACATTCTCAAAATTATTCCTAGTTTTTGAGTTATATCGAAAAAAGTGAATTTTTGGAATATCTATTTTATTTTTTTCTCCGTTATTAATAGAGGTACAGAAGAACTGAAAATACTTTTTCATAGCAACTTTTGTTGACGTTTAACGTGGTGAAACCGATTTTGGTATGTGACGTTTCGTATCCGTAGAACCATCATCAACTTTTGTTCTTTAAATACGGTCCTGATAATTTTTTCACAGATTCTGAAAGGTTTTTTCATTCTGAATTCAACCATGTATGATACAAAGTGATTCAAATGTGTTTCGACCTATTTCTATCCATCATCAATGTTTTTTTGAACTTCCACAGAAAAAGTGCCATCAGTTCCACTTATTACTGATCATTTAGTGTCAAATATTGAAGAATTAGTTATTCAATACTGAGAAGTGAGTAAAAAATATTTCACTACATCATTCAATGCAGCGCTTTAAAATTGTTGATGAATTCTTACACGAATTACTTCAACAACTAAACATTGACAATACCTACAGAAACATTCATAACAAATGTTCAAAATGATAACCATTATTTTCTGAACAAAGATATCCTCTTCTCACAGTTGCTTCTAAGACATTACTAAGCATTTCTGGGGTTATTCTATTGGATGCTCCGATGACACTGTGCCTTAGTTCTTCTTCATCATCAAAGTTATTTGCGTATACAAAGTTTTTGACATATCCTGTAAGAAAAAATCCAGCTGTGTCAAATCAGGCGACCGCGCCGGCCAAGGCCTGTAGAATGAGTACCAACCCATTTTTCTGGATAAAAACGCACGGACTTCTCTGGAATTATGTACCGGAGCGCCATCTTGTTGTAACAAACAGTTCTGAACTTCCGCAATCGGTAAATCATCCAGAGCTTCCTCAAGATGACTCTCAAGCAAATTTCTATAACGTTCGGAAGTCTGTCTTTCATGGTAAATAAAAGGACCAATAATTCGTCTACCAAATATTGCAACCCACATATTAAAGCTGAAACGGTGTTGGTGTGATGGTGTCTCGCTGTAATGTATAAATGTTCATTTTCTCGTGAACAAAAATGTGTATTTTTTCTATCAAAGATACCATGATTAGTGACTATGCTTTCATCAGTCCAGATGATTGTTCGAGGACAATCTGCAAAATTTTGACATTTCCTGGTATACATACCACTCACAGAATGTTCTGCGCCTTTCGTCATCGCCTGGTTTTTTTAGCGCTCGACATATTCTGAATTTGTATGGATGGAGTTTTTGTTTCCGCAAATTGAAATGGGTTGTTGATTGAAATCAGTTGATGGAGTATTAGTGTGTTGACTAATTTTCCTTCAAAATAAGTGGATGGCATTTTTCCTTTGGAATTTCGAAAAAACATTGATGATGGCTAAAAATAGGTCAAAACACAAATAAACTACTTTGTATAATACATGGTTGAATCCAGAATAAAAAACCTTTCAGAATCTGTGAAAAAATTATCAGGACCGTATTTAAAAAACAAAAGTTGATGATGGTTCTACGAATACGAAACGTCGCATAAAAAATCGGTATCACCACGTTAAACGTCATCAAAAGTTGCTATGAATTTTTTTTTTACGTTTTTCTGTATCTCTAATAATAACGGAGAAAAAAAAAATAGATATTCCAAAAATTCACTTTTTCAATATAACTCAAAAACTGAAAATAATTTTAAAAATTTTCAAAGGCTCTTGATTTGAGCCTCCGAATGCGCAACTTTTTCTCCATTTAACCGACTTCGTATCTCCTACCGTTTTCGAGTTCCCCATGCTGTTCAACCTTATCTTGGACAGACTGTATAGGGAGGACTGATAATGATTTTGCAGGTGGATATTGGATTGCTAGCATAGGATACAAGGTGTAATATTTTTCATCTTTGTTTATTTTCAGCACTGGGCGCAGCCTATGGAACTGCAAAATCAGGCACTGGTATAGCCGCCATGTCTGTTATGAGGCCAGAACTTATCATGAAATGTATCATTCCCGTGGTCATGGCGGGTATCATTGCCATTTACGGACTGGTCATTGCTGTATTGATCGCTGGTAATATTACTAATCCTTCAGGGTATACTCTATACAGGTAAGGTGATATCTGTGATCTCTATGATTTAACATAATTTCTTTCAAAAAGTTTTGATAAAATTGAGGGTTATCTTGTGAACTATGAGAAATGGTGAAAAAGGGGCGGCCATCATTTTCGACTGCTTAGCTACAGAACATTTTAAATACATTCGCATTTTCATGTGACCCACGTTCCTCAATTGATGTTTATCGAATCAAGAAGCTAAGTAATTATACTGTTTGAAAAACTGCATGCTTTCATTTTTGCAAGAGTTTCTGAAATATGTATTTACAAAACTTGAACATAACCCTTGTTTATTTTTAAGCATGTAGCAAAATCATCCTGTATGTGTTCATCGCCTATAATATGTTCGATATGTATAACAGTTTGCTAATCTACCTGCTTCTTCGATAAATAACTCACCTTACACTAGATGCCTCTACTTGGCCATTTATCCATAAATTGTTTTTATAAACTTTGGTAGTTTTTACGGAAACCCGAGACTTCGGAGATTCGCTTCTTTTCTTCACGTTTACCTGCGTTTACCTAGTGGCCGATCGCCATTTGAGTTTGCAATTTGTGTAACAAGTTACGAATAGTGTGCCTGGTTTTAGGTAAGTTCTCTAGCAACTTTATTTATAATTGTTTTCATGATCAAACTATTACTAAATATTAGTTCGAAATATCATTTAACCGGATTGATGCCGGCATGTTTTTCGATTGTTCTTACGCCATGGAATGGAAGTATCAATTAGATAATCTGGTTTTAGATTTGTAATCACCTAACTGGCGGTCTGTACACTAGAAACCGAGATTTTGAGGCCGTTAAACAATAAAGTGGTTTTCTTGTACGACACATCCATCATTTCCGAACCCCATCTATTACAAGCAGGAAGATATTTTCAAATTATCTTCCTAACTATACGTTTTTTTTGTGTTTCTCTTTGTTCCCAACTATATTTGATATTTTTCTAGCATTATTGCTTAATTCTTGTCAATTCTTGAAGGCCAAGAAATGCTATCAACAAAGGGGGCGTTCCTTGTTCAACAATTTAACATAAATTACCCTAGACCTTACTTAGCATTTAATAACTTTCTGTTGCCTAGAACGACCTAGGTAACCATTTCAATAATTGATATTTTTGCACATTCAGGGTCAAAGTATGTCCTCCAAACGGTGACTAATTTAGAACTATCCAAATGGTTCTTGTCAAATGATATTTCAACATTGAATGGTAAACTAATTCCATTTATAGGTTTACTGAAAGTGTAGAAAGTAGAGTAGAGTAGAGTAGAGTTAATTACCATCAATTTACAGTATGTTTCTGACAGGTCAATACAAAGCAAATATATATATATATAAGATACAAGATATGATAAAACATGACAAGAGAAAAATAAAAATAAAATTTAAATAACTAATTAATGGTACATGCATACATTGCAAACATACATACATAACATTGATGAATTAAAAATATAAAGCCAGACGATCAAGATATATAAAATACAATTAGATTAAAAGAATACTTATTGTAGACTAATATAAAACATGAACTAATAAAATAAAAATAAAAATAAAAATAAAATTGCCAATTAAAATTGAAGGCAATTAACATTCAAGGCAGTGTGAATGGGCAAGCAACTGATCACTATTCAAAATTGGAATTGAATACAGCATTATCTAGATATTCCTGTTTTGAATAAAAGCAATGTATTATGAAATGGTTTTTCAGAACATTCTTAAATTTGAATTCAGGTAGTTGTTTAAAGCATTCTGGTAAATGATTATAGAGTTTCACATCTAGACTATTATTCTTAGTTATTGCATACTTAACTCTATCAGATCTGAGAGAATTGCATGATCTCGTGTTGTAGTCATGGAATTGAGAGCACATTTTGAATTTATTCTTGTTTCTATGAATTTCAAGTAATGTTTCATAAATATAGAGTGAGGGAAGTGACATTATTTTTAGATTTGTGAATATTGGTTTGCAATCTAGTGTATTATGTTTGAAGCAATCCATTCCCTCAATCACTATATTCCGTCAATCACTAGATTCCGTCAATCACTAGATTCCGTCAATTACTATATTCTGTAATCACCGTCTTCCATCAATCCCTGTAATCAGAACAACAAACAGAATGAGGAACGAGAATAGGCAGTTTCAATGATTTTCAGTTTCGGCTGAATTTGTTGAATTTATGACATAGTCCAGTGGTTAACATATATTAAAAATGTTGTTTTCAATGTTTCAATGAAACTGATTATTTCCCGCCAGAGCGAGGCTAGGAAAATGGAGTAAAATGTCGTCTAAAAAGTTTTGTTTTGGGCCAGGTTGTACACCAATGCAGACTTGAAAACACTATCACAAATATTTACTACGGTTCCTAAGGAAGAAATGAAGATACCTACAAAGATGTGTTTGAACTCGGCTAGACAAAATATTACAGAGGTGTAGTGAAAATCAACTTGTATTGTTGAAAATTTATCTATTATGGTTTTTAACTGAACCCCGATCGTTCTGACCTAAAGCTCAAGCCGAATTCTGCTTCGAACTAGACAGCTTAATCACAACCCCTTTTTTTTTATCGCTTGGAGCGCACGAAAGGAAATCCCTATAATGTTCAAAGAACATCGTGCGTTCCTAGGGAGGATAGGGACAGGAGTTAGGTATTGGATTTTTTTTTAACTTCTGGAGATTATATATTGTTGGGAATACTTCTTGATATAGCGTTTTTTTGTCACAAAAAGTGACAACAGATTCTCATCAGTATAAATTATATATTTCTCAACTCTGTATTGCAGAATGATGAAAATGGATACAGATATGTTCCAAGTGATCCTCACAAAACACCAATAGTACTTTCCCGGCCCTCAAAAAAATACATTTTTTTTATTGGTACCTACCCTATTCTGCTTATTTAAGGAACGCCACAGTGTATTTAATTCCAACATTGAAAAACGTGCGTTTTTTAATGAAATTACCACGGCAACTGCCGGCAATGTGAACTCTGAATGGTCAACGTTTTCATCGATCTGACAGGCATGTAACGTCAAATAAAATATCACTGACAAATGTGTCATTTCCATATTTATGCTCTATGATTTATGAAAAAAGAGCATAAGTAATCATGGATACTGGTCTTTAAAATACTTGCTCTATTTCTATTACTCAGGCTATCACTGATACTTCCATATACTAATTAATTTTCTCTAACAAACTCTACTTCCGAATGAGAAAAAACAGGTACAGGTGTGCTTTAAGTGATTCTAACTGGGAATTCGTCAGTAGTTTATGTGATGTTGTTATAACATCTTAGTAGGTACGTTTTTATTGCTTACGAATATGAGTTGAAATACAAAAATACTTCCGAGTTTTTTCTCTTTTACGTATCAGTTTAGTTGAATCATTACATCTTGCACTCAATTAATGTAGTTAGGTAGTTAATTTATTATTACAACAGTCGGTATTGAAAATCACAGTGAGTTTCTATTTGGTATAAATTCAATACTCTCGTTTCTAAACTCACTGTATGATAAATTGACATTCATCATACAGGGCGTGGAAAGAAATTCTGAATTGGGACTCTATCACGAATCTGCGATTAGAGGTCTATAAAAATCATGAGTTTCCATCGTTCAAGTTTGAACCCCCTGATTGGGTATGAAAGTGTTCAAAAGGAATATTCTCAGATAAATTATGTACCTACATACAAAAATGAATATATATTTACATAATAGATATAATTCAATGTTCGTCGTGGCATATAGCCAGGAAAGTAGTTGTTTTCTATTGAATAAACTGAAAAAGAGTAGATATTCTCATCACATAGAGAATGCGAATTCTCAATGTATTGCTTTATATAAATATATATTCATTTTTGTATGTTCATAATTTATCTGAGAATATTCCTTTTCATCACTGAACATCAACTTGTGGTAAATTATAATGAGCAATCAGCTTCTGGTAACCTTTTTTGAATTTTACTATCATATTAACAAGAAAATGTTCATGATCACAACTCCGTAAAACATAAACAGATCGGACTCCCAAACTGCCAGGAATAGATTAGCATGCATCACATTACTTTCTTGAATTCGAATGTATGATGCAGGCTTGCCTGTGAGGTCCGGCCAGTCACAGTACGTTCTTGAATTTGAATAACCATCCCATTTTCATTGGCCAATTTTTGGACCACTATTCATTATTTCCCATTCACAGGTCGATTATATTGGTGCTTCTTTGTGAGTTTGATGTGAAAAATAGATCATATTTTTGCAGAACGCCGTATTGAAGGTTATTTTTTCGAACCCTCCTTACTCATCATGAAAATATGGTCAAACTTCAATGTCCTCAATTGTTACATAGAGACAGATTTCATGAAATAGGAGGAAAGCTCCAGTTTGTCCAAGTGCTGTTTGCATTCTTGCATTCATCATTTTCCAAAGGTAAACATGAATATTTTTATCTAGTACGATATATACTTTGATGTTCTAGATATTTTCATGAAATTTCACATGCGCCTACTAGGCACCATTTTTAGAGGCAGGAGATTTTTAAATATTTCTACCAGTGGTGACCGTATGGGATGTATAGTGGAGATTTTCCTAAAAAAATACTGTGCGCTCTTCCTTTTTCCGAAAATGAAAATAATTTTTGATATCCTCATTAATTTTGCAACAATTAGACCCCTAGAATTTTTCCGTCCAACGCACCGTTTTCGCGTAAAAAATAAAACCCATTTTCATGCATTTGTGGAATAAGGAAATTATTTTGAAGTAGTAGGCTAGTGCCGTATTTTGATTTGGATTAATGACATTTGATCGATTACGTTGCGGTCTTATTTTGACAAGTATTCATAAATGTGAATGTTATTTACATTGCGAAAGTTTCATTAATCAATAGTGAATAGAAAATAAAATTTTGACACCATATAGCTCGAAAGTTGATAGTCTCAGGAATATGTTCCATTCCATGTTGGATTCGAATTTTATCCATTGTTTGCAAATTTGA